AGGGAGGGAGGGAGAGGGAGGGAGGGAGGGAGGAAATCCAATTCACCTTTGAAATACATGAGATGACCAGGGACCTTAACTTTTTTTAACAGCAAAAATGCCTTACATACAGTGATGCAGAGCTCTTTGCAGAATGCATTTCTCTTTTTGAAGCACTTCCTGGAATGACCATGACTACACCACACACTTGGCCAGTTCTGGAAGCCCTGCGAAGGAGAAGCAGCCTCAATGGCAGGGTTTCCCAAACTGTGAGGTGTGCTTCCCTTGGGGAGGTGCAGACAGAATCCAGGGAAGGTGTGAAGAACCTTTTAGTTGTACACTGTTACAAAATATCCACCTTTCCCAAAGTTTCATTGCACTGTTTTCATTGTTCATTTGTGTTCGTTTTGGTGTTTGGATTTTTAGGGGAGGTGTGTACATTAAGATTACACTAAAGGGAGGTGTGATGGCAAAATGCTTAGGAATCCCTGCTCTGTGGAAAGGTGCACATTGTTATGAACACATATTCTCTCTGTGAAAAGAAAATACACATCACCTTGTTCATTCTAAAAATGACAAACCCACTACAGGGGGTCCTCGCTTAACAACCACTTGTTCAGCAGCTGTTTCACCGGATCTCATACTCATGCCATTGCAGAGCCCCCATGGTCATGCGATCATGATTTGCGACCTTCCCTGCTGGCTTCTCACAAGCAAAGTCAATGGGGAAGCCAGCAGGAAGTCGGAAGTCATGGTTATGCGAGGTCCTCACTTAACGACAGCAACGGGGACAGCAAATGTGTCACTAAGTGGTGTGATCACATGGTTTTTCAACATATAACCATGTTGCTTAACAACCCAGTCTCCAGTCCCAATTAGCATTGTTAAACAAGGACTATTTGCACTACTACTAAACAGAAGCAAAAAAATTCTCAAAACTTAATTTTTAAATTAAACTTTTGTCAATCAAACTTTAGAGTGGAAATTGCTCTGCAAAAAAGAAAGGCAGGGAAATGGGTTGGATTTAGATCAATCCACACATCCCTATGGAAACAAGAGGAAAGAAAACTGCAAACTATAACCAAGTTACATTTTTCCAGGGGTCTTATGTCACCCGTCAAAAAAGATTTAAATGAGCAGTCAAACACTAGATAATGTCATCTTCCCCACCCCAACTGCATTACAGCTTGAAAGAAGAGAATGCCTTTAAAGCACTAACACGTTTATCATGGATGGGAAATTACTAATTTTTTCTCTTGGTTTATTACAAAAACAACAACTTGGATTATGTTCATGCCAAGACTGTAAATGTACTCAGTAAAACAAATAAACAACAACCAAAAAAAGAATAAATAATAGAAGTGCTATACATTGCTGTTTACAGAACCTTTATTATTATCTTTTCATATGGTATATTACACGGAGCCATACTTTTGTAGTGTTTGGGGGGCGCGGGGGATCTCAAAGCTGATGAATGAGATTTATTTTTAAGCAACATCCGGGCAATGCAAAGATATTTCTATAAAGTATAAGGCTGAGGATCTGAACAAAAAGATATTCAGTGCATAACATAATAGTGGGCAGAACAAAGCACAGGGATCTAATTTTGGAGTAAGGGGTGTGTTAGAAGTCAGAGGGCAAAGCTAAAGAGTGAGAAAACGAATAAGCTCTACTAGATCACGCTCTGAAATGTATGGCCCAAGATTAAAGTCAATGAACGCAGACAACGTGCAGCTGTTTATGGAAAGCATGCGCCCTAGATGAGAGTTATGAATGAGCAACACTGCAGAAGGAAAAGCCAATGCAGCCTAAATAGAAACTGGCATTGTTAGGTCGGTGGCCTTCTCCTTCAAACCCATCCTTCTTCTCTGCCAGAGTCTGCTAAGAGTTGTTGCTCATCCCCTGCTACCTGACTCTGATCTTAGAGGACCAAACCCACCCCTTTTTGCAGGCAAACACACAGAATTCCCACCAAGTATGGTCCATTAGAGTCCTTCTGCAGCTGAACATCTAGCAAGATCTTCAGACCAGGAGAACATTGTCTGTTTCCACTGCTCCTGGCTCAAGCTGGCTTGATTCCACTACTCCTTCTCTCCCAATTTTTATTCCTCATTCATTTCTTCTCTCCAGCCTTCTCCTTGCCCTAAAGTTTCTTCAGAAATCACCCCCCTTTCTTCTGGATCTTTAAGCAGCTAGAACTTCCAGGTTCTCCTCAAGCCTGCACCTTCTCCTTTTCTAGCATAGCCACCATTCCTTTTTGTGGAAAGGCTGGGAGCAGGCAAATGGCTGCCAAGTACCATTAGGCAAACACAGGATACACCCGGGGGGAGGAAGAGAGAGAGAAATTATTCACACATGCCCCTTTAACCTCCCATGGACAGAGCTTTGAAATATCAGTCTGTCCAACTATTACATCAAAGTATATTTCCAATTAACTAGATAGACTATTTTGGCAGTAGAGATTTATCCAGGGGTTTGGTCCTTTGCAGTCCAAAGTCTGTAATGTCAGCTTTACTGAAGACATTGAGGCAATCCTTTTCCTTACTGGGGTTATCTCCATGTCTTCCCAGCTGGTTTTCTTTTCTGAGGGAATGACTCAGCTCTCAGCCAAGAAAATGGAGCTGTCTCAAGGCTCAGCTCCTTGGAAGGGATGGGGTAGTTTTAAAGGCCTGTACAGAAAATGCCTCCAGCAAAGTTTGTTCTATGTTTTGCTTTAAGCCATGTTTTGTTTCTCTTGTTCATCACCCCCTCCATTGGCTTTCATGTTTTTAGGCACTGAGTATTCCCTGTTGAGGTGAATCACTCTCAAGAGAGTCCTTTTCCTTTTACCACATTTAGAACTGGGTCTCCTCGTCCTCGTCCTCCTCCTTCTCCTCCTCTCCCTCTTCCTCGTCCCCCCCCCCCCCCCAGTGGTCTTCTGGTCTTGTTCCTTTCTAGATGGAAGCCATCCTTTTCAACACCCTCCAGAGACATTTCAAATAAAAGGGTTTTTCCTAAAGAGTCAAACAGTTCTGGCTTCAGATTTTGGGAACTGTGGCAAAATGTGCTTTATAGAAGCATAATGCCCCATTTAGGCCATTAACTCCCCTGCTTTGTACAATAATCCAAATTAAAACATCTCCAGCAAATGCAGCTTTTGCCAGATCATACCAGAAAAGGAGAACCCATAACTTCTTTCACATCAGCCTGCTTTTACTATCAAAATATTTGTTCTCACAGTCAACCAGAATTCGCCTTCCTGTAACGTGAAACCATTATTTTGTATCCTGCTTTTTAGGATCTTGACTGCTATCTTTGTGATATCCTTTCAGTCGTCTCTTCTCAAGACTAAGTATTCTCAACTCCTTCAATCTCTATTCACTGTACTTGGTTTCCAGTATGCTGATCATCTTGGTTGCCTTTCTTTACCTCCATTTCAGTTTGCCTGAATCCTTCTTAAAATATGACGTCCA